TTGTACTCGTTTATGACGTCACATTAGAGGACCATTTTAAATACTTAATTCAATTGAGATTAATATAGAGTGCTTATTACGCTTGTTAGCTGCTGCCAACCCGGACGAATTTCAACCAAAATAACTCCATTCGTAAATTAGGTGACTGCGAACTGCCACAAAAATATACAAGGTGTTATATATGAGGCGAGACAAGATGTCGTAAAATTAGAACAAAAGGTTTAAAAATTTCAATGCTGTGTCAAATTTGATCCTCAAGCTCATTGTTTAAAACAATACTATAAATGAAAAAAATTGAAAAAATATACAGTGTTCCATTTAAGAAAAACCACCTTAAAGATGCTCAGCTCTAATGCATCACCCTGTATAATTCAAAATATTTTTAAAATGTGAACTTTTTTAAGTATATCACTCTCACAAAATATTTCTTTTCAAATCTTTATAATAAGGGAGATATTGAACTTTGTCATACTATTGGGCCACCCCGTATATTTTAATATTTCTTCAGGTAATGATTTTGTGGGAAATATTGCTTTAACGGTACCTACAGATTAGAAAGTCACATATTGACAGTAGCTACAAAGCAATACTTCGTGACAAAATTTATTTAAGGTGTGACATATGACATGTTTTTTTTTGGTTATATTTTATCCACAAGCAATACTATTCACTTCGACAAGAAGCGATAACTTTAAATATATTCCAAACGTGTTCCTCTTGTTTCTAACACAAAGCAGCTTTCAAGGTAATCGACATGTACCTATCTAAATTCTCCCACATCACAATTATAGATTTCAATTTATATTAGTCAAGTGGTTTTTGAAAATAAAACCTATAGAAACTTTTATCTAATTTACTAATAATGGATTAAATTGGAATTTTCAATGGAAGAAATGACTGTTATGGTTTGGAAGATGACAACTGTCTTCAAGCTATGCGGTGTTATCAAGATATATTTCCTCAGCATCAATAATTTAATAACAAAGTTCTTCAAGGGTTCATCAATATTTAAGGAACTGATGCCTTGAAGAAAGAAATGAAGATTGTGAACATAGTCTTATAGCAAGTACAAGATATGTAACTAGAAAATTTTCAATATGAATCACTTGGCAGCTTGGTGAATTTTTTAAGGAAGAATTGTTTACTTTCAAGACACTTAGGCTATCTTTCAGGAAAATTATCGATAGGGACAAGTGAGTCGTTGCCATAAAAGTTCACATTTCCTAACTTCTGTCCTTTTCAAGGATAAAGCACGTTTCGACAACATGGAATATATAATTATGATAATTGTCATATCTGGATGAAGAAGATCCTGAAAAAATCATTGAAGGTCGTTTATACAAATGAATAGGTCAGCATAATGAGTGATAACCTAAATGGTCCTTTTACTCTACTTCAAGGACAAACAGGTGGAAATAATTCTAATTTCCTTTAAAATGGCTTCCTTCTCATTTTGAGTATCTTTGAATTTCTGTCAGGAAATGTGGTTTATACACAACGGAGCACCTGTTCATATTAATCGCATTGTAAGAAACTATTTAGATGTAACATTTGCCAATACTTCTCTGCTTAGATAGGCTCAGACCAATACCCTGACCTGGTCTGTCGCTATACATTTGATTTACATATTTGGAAAAAGCTAAATAGTGTACGCTTTTCCTAATAGTGCTCAGGTTACTCTTTTAAACAGAAACCAAAAATGATGCGTTAGAATGCATCCTGCTGAAGCAGAAACCATCAATTTTTTAATAAGGACCACCCAGGTCCATGAGACAAAGGGCTAAAATATGAGTAGAACAAAGAGAATTTTGAAAATCTTTAGGGTTTATGTTTGTTAATTTAATATTCTCCTTTTTCTTTGCAAGAAGTTGTTTTAAATTGAATCCTTTTTGAGAACATACAAGTTCTCAGTTATTTGAAAAACGGTTAGACCTTTCTTATTCATTTTGATTTGTTCTCTGTGTCAAATAATCTAAGTTCCCTGCGTCCATAAGAAACTCAATTATTTTCCCTGATCGCTATATTGCAATCAGTGACCTTGAGTGTCTTGCCAATTTTATGCGAATCAAATACAGCTTTCCATGTTGAGGTGTACATTTAACACTCTATATCTCCAAAAACAAAGAGTTTTAAGTTTTTATTTATTTGTCTTATCTCTGCCTCTACATTTACGTCTATTTTTAGAAGCTTTTAACTTGCCTTTTTAGTATGGGTCAAATCTTGCAACTGAATTTTGAAACAATTATCACCAACCGATCGAGCTGAAATTTTGCATACAGGTTCAGTTTGGATGACAATGCATGGTTAGCTAAGTGACGTTATTCTAAATCCAATATGGCGGACTCCCAAAGATGGCGGACCAGTTATTTTTTATGCACCCCATGATATGGGTATCAAATGAAAGGGTTTGCTGAGAAGAATACGAAAATAAAATGACGTCACTAAAAAACTTATTTTTTAAAAAAATTTTTATACATGAACCTATTTAATTAAATAATTGAAAAATACCAATATTATCAAATTGTAGACATGTTCTCTAATTTTTCAAAATAAAAAGTAAATAATAAGGCGAAGTTGATATTTTTTGCGATATGTTTTTCCTATTTTGCTTTTTAAAAAGTAGGGACTTAATTTTTTTTTCTATTTCTGAAGAGAAAAATTAGACACATTTTAAATGTTTGCCACATGCTCCATGTGTTCATTAGAAAAAAAATCATAGGCAATTATGGCAAACAATTTTTTTGTTTTATTTTTACTTTTGTAGATATTTAAAGTACGTTTTGAAATAATTTATTACGTATCCTGACAGATGCCTAAATTTTTAATGGGTCGGTGAGTGTCGGTGGGTTTATTACCATCTTTTACGTTTCCCTCCTACAAGAAATACCAAATTAAATATCACAGACAAATTACAGCCAGTCGCTGCTTAATGGAGTTTTATAGGTGACGCTTTTTCAAGTGTCCTAAGTCCTCAGAGTTGGGCGTATAATCGTATAAGCTTAATAAATTTTTCCTACGCTTTATGCTGCAATAAATGCAACTTTATATATTGCCGGAGTTTAAACTGTGCCGGTTCCTAGGTGCACAGTTGCAACAAGCAGGTTTTAGGAAAGAATTCCGCAGAATAAACCGATACTTCTCTAACTTTTGTTCATATATTTCTAATAACTGTCACAGAGACTAAGTTTGATATGCTAGAAAAAACGCGATGCTCTACAAATCCTTCAGACGTGACTACTTGTTTCTAATTTTTAATTTAATGGAATTTTGTGTAACTGCTTATTTGTAAGAAAGCTTACAAATGACAATTACACTGACAAAGGAACTTATAAGATTCATAAGAAGAAAATTAAAATCGGCACGACAAAACTTTGACAATCAGTCATTTTGATTATAGTACGATTTTTAAATAATAAAAAATACTAAACTAAACAAAAACGTATTAAAAATTCCACGAATAAATATTTAACCTTACTTTTAATGCTACAGTTAATTAAAACGTAACGAACGTCAATTTAGATATATTTTTGATTTTGTATCCGCTTTGTTTTATTAAACTCGTGATCACACACTGGACTTTTGCCAACCATTTGTTCGCTTTAAAAAGGCATTGATAAAAAATTTAATACACAAACAGCTTAAAGATTTGTTGTCTTTACAAAACTAGTTTAGTGTAAAATCGACGCTTCAATTTTTGGTTACGTACATTTTCAGAATTAAGCGTTCCCTCTTCAAATATACAGGATGTTTCAAACAATCAGGTCAAACTGCTAACTGCTGATTTTTGGGTGAAAATAATGGGGCTTTCGTCATTTAGTGCCAAAATAACAATTAAAAAATATTTTTATTAATAATTTGCTTTTTAGGATATTAAGATAAATTCTGACTTTTATTTTATTCCAGAATAACTTAGATACACCATCGGGATACACCACTAGCTTCACTCAATCTTTCAAATGAGCCTCTTTTAACACTATTGCTTTTCTGGGCACTTCGAGTATGATTATTCTTGTGTCTATATCATTGTTTTTGAGGTTTTTCTCTTGCCGGAGTACCATTTCAGGTCTCTTGGGAGTATTTTGATTATTGGGCTTCAGGAAGCACCTTATTTTGGGATCTACGCCTCGAGAGCACCGTTTGCAGCAAATATCGACGTCAAAAATTTTGAATGGTAAAAATTGAGTTTATTGGGAATAACCTATTAACAATATATAGGTTTGAAATGTGTAAAGGGCTCCATACCATGCAATGAACTATTTATAGGGCTTATGAGTCGTACTGAGTACTGGCCAGTTTCCGTTCTAGTTAATGCAAGGTACCAGGGTAGAAGTTCGAACACAGCCTATGATAACTCCGCATAGCGATTTCCGCTGAAGTTTGTACTTTCTACTTCTCAGAATGTTGCCTGTCTTTCGAATCAGTCGTTTCATGTTGAGATCCCATAGTTCAAATCTTGCTGCGTTCGGAGAACTCAGTTTCCAAAATTCGGAACTGGGAAGATTTTCTCGCGGTCATTTTGTCACTGAAAGTAGGGTTAGGAACTACTTGGACAAAATATTTGAAACAGAAAATTGCGATTTCGGATGAGATCTCTTTTATAGGGATAGTTGACTAGATGTCCTCGAGTATTGGTAACTATTTTTGCTGAGATCCCCCTGGTAGATAGTCCACAAAAAGATCGAAATGGAACTTAGTATATCGTATACGTTCTAACATAGTTTGTTTAATCGTCAACACAAGAAGAAAAAACTTAGCTTTCAGGTACTATTGACTTAAAATCCTAACTTATAACTGCAGCGAAAGACCTACCACACAAGATGTACCTAATTCTATCTGAGTTACTAAAAAAGTATTAACAATTTTAAATTATATATTTTTATATCGCATTTAAAATTGTTACAATTCTTATTGAGTTGAATTCATAAATTTATTCATACATTTTATATAAATATCTTTCATTTCTGATACACTTTCGGAGGAAGATAATTTGATAAACTTACTGTATACTTTGAGTTGATCGAGCGGTGGAATGGCCGTAGTTTTTTGGGATTGATTATTTTTGCCATTCCTTGCAGATGCCATCAACCTTTGCCTTTTTAATGGGGGAACCAATCTGGCGGGTCCTACTGGAAACGCCGTTGAAGCGTAATAGCTGCAAATGAAAAATCGCAGGTTAAAAAGGGATACGTCGAGGGAGAGTTTATTAATTATAATATAAATAGATACATTTCTCACAAGCGCTGGTAAGGGAGAACATAATGTGTTTATTTATCCCAAATAAAACGAAATAAAATATGTCGACCATAATTTAGTTAGATTTATCTCCAGAATCAAGACCTTATCTTAGTTCATTATTTTTTTAAAATAGTGATATAGTCGTTTATACATTTAAGTTAGATCTTTGTCATATTATCCTCAGTATCATTTTTCGGTGGATACCAGCAAACGAGTAAAACACGACTTCATTTAAATTGGACACACACGAATTGCAAATTCCGTGTCCAAAACTATCAAAATATCATCTAGCGCTACAGAATATTCCATGGAAACTGGGCGACAGGAATATGGCGAGCAAATCACATGACCGTGTTTAACGGGACATTTTTCAGTTCACAGTCATTACAAAGGATTGTTAAAAATGAAACAAGTTGTAAAAACAGCTTTATCTTTTTATTGAGCTGTCAACAGCAATACGATGTAACTGGATATTTGTTTTTTAAATAACTCTGACGCGGCACGTATTGGTTAACTTTTTAAATTAATAATGCATAATGCATGAGCGTTATTTCGATGTAGGCAAATTATTGCATCAAAACACATAACGATATATTCGATGTCGAAACGTAGAAAATAGAAAACAAATATGGACATATGGACAAGATTAATATAAATTTTACGATACTATTAACTGCAACAGAAAAATTACCATAAATTGATGAAGTTATTCAACTCGTATAGTGTATTAAATAAAACCCAATATTTTTGTTAGCGTTAATAAATATGCAAATTTTATTTACATTGACAGTTGAATATCTCCATAATATGGAATGATAGAGAAAATAATGGTACATATATACAAATGAATAAAAATCCTGGTTCAACAAAATATTCATGGTAGCCACTGTTACTATATGTACATATAACGAAATCAGTAACTAAACAATTATAAGCGTAAATACAGGTAGGTACTCATTCAATATCAGTCACCAATTTCCATTAGAAACTCATGTTTCTTAGATTAGTAAAAAAAAGTTATTATTTATTTAAAATAAAAATATTAAGATTACAATTCAGAATTTGTTAAATCAATCAGTGACGAAGAAATATTTGCATCTTCGAGTATTTGATTTCAACTCAAGTCTTGTGAAGCAGCTTGAAAATCAAGTCAAGAAGTTAAATCTTGTTGAAATAAAATTTTAAATAGTTCTAGCTGTGTAGAAAGCCCTTATGATATTCCACATACATACTTACAATTAATTGAATTGTATTAATTATACAGGGTCGGAAAGTCCCCATGGTTCATCGGCCGTTACGTGAGAGCGATAAAGTGAGTCATAGAAATCCGTGCAATAGAGAAGGATGGCTATAATGAAGGCGTCTCATAGTCACCGCCCGTTTCGCCCTTCCTCAAATAAGATCCACTTCCACTTGTAATTCAGCGACCGGTGGTCATCTTTGTTTTCGTCGTTTGCCTTTTCTGTAATAAATGTCACTACTTATATGTTAATAAAATCCGTTAACAGAGGGCAGCCCTAGAAAGAGTGATGCCAGATCTACAGATTTTTTTGGAAATGAGGAAATAGGGAATTTTGATTTATTTCTTGGGATTTTTAAGTCATTTTAAAAAGTATACTTAAATAACAACTAAATGAACTTTAAATGCAGCTGAGCACTATACTCCATTTGAATAACTTCTCAGTAGGGGAAATAAGGTCACTAGATTTACAGACAGAGGTATCTACTAGCTACTGTAAAAAGTTTTCTTTTTTACCCGTTGTGCTGCCCTCTGTTAACGGGTGGTATTAACATATCGGAATACCGAAGTCGAAATTGTATAAGTAGTGACATCTATTAAATAAAAGCCAAACGACGAAAACAAAGATAACCACCGGTCGCTGAATTACAAGTGGTAGTGGATCTTATTTGTGGAAGGGCGAAGCGGGCGGTGATTATGAGACGCCTTCATTATAGCCATCCTTCTCTATCGCACGGATTTCTATGACTTACTTTATTGCTCTCCCGTAACGGCCGATGAACCATGGGGACTTTCCGACCCTGTATATCGATCCTAATGCAACAAATATTGATTTAAATTAAATTCCAAAACCGCGTACGTATTATTATTAATCTCGACTGTCCTGATGATTTTAATGCAATTTTTAGAAGCAACATTATTATTATTTATAAAAATAATGAAAACAATGTTTTACCGCAAAAATTATACTAGCTGTAAAATATAGCACACAAAATTTTAAAGAAATAAAATTATTAATAATATTGGTTTTTTGTTTACATAGGTACTATTATTTCATCTTTCGAATTAAACATGTAATGTAAGTAAACATTTTGACGTTTCGATAAATATATCACCCTCCTGTTTAGTTAAAAATTTGTCCAAATTTAATTTCGCACAAGAGGTTCAAATTTTACGTTTTCTGAAGCTATTTAAAGGTGAAGTGTTTCTGATACCTGTCTCACATTTACCTAATTTATAATGAAGTAGAATAAAAAGAAACCAAGCCTGCGTTTTAATGTAAGTACTTAGATATTAAATAGTTTCTTCAGTATTTCCACTTCCACAAAAATTTTACTTAGCCAATTGATATACCAAACTCCACAACTAATTGTTGTAGCAATTCTGTACAAGTAAATATTTACGCTATCCACCATATTACGAAGTTTTGTGTTAATGTCTTTAAATTGGAAGATTCGATTCTTTAGCAACAAATTTGATGACATTTTTACTTTCTCTTTCTCTTCTCTTCCATTCTTTGACCAATATCTTTAACTTCACATACCTGTATTTATGCTATGGTGACATTGTGGTTTTTTTTTCAAACAAAAGCCGACAAAGTAAACGTTGTATGTCAAACAAAATTCTAAAGAGCAGCTAAAAACTAACGTCCTTTTTTAATTCTATAGGATAAAAATTCGAAAAAATCTATGCCGTACATTAAATCTCTTCTAGCAGGATCAAAGCTGATGAATTTGTGTATAGGTATCCAGTTTTTAAAAAATATTCTGAAATATGTATTTAAAACAACTTTGACCGATTTCACGAAGTACATATCGAAGGGCACAAAAGCCTTCAAATTAAAAATCTAGGGCTGCGATTTGCCTCGGCGAGTGAATATTTTGAAAGGTACATCTACGTGCTTATCGTTGTTTAAAGGGAAATTCAATGCATATCCCAGATAATTGAAAGCCAATATATACCTAGGGAACCTGTTAATTCAGAAGTTTGTGCAATGTTCTTACTGAGACATATTTGTCGCGTAAGGAAAACATTGGTAAAATCTCTACAATGTGTCAATAAGATGAAGTGAGCAAGCAATTTAAGTTTCCAAACTTCATATCGCGAAATTTCTGGGTAATCTCTCGCTTCAGCGAAAATGATTTCCCAAGTTTAATACCAGATATCTTGTTTCGCAAAATTATGAGACGTTATGATTGCTTCGTATGTATATTATTTAATACTCCACCGATACGGTATGTCCTTCATATATTTCTTGCCCTTATTTTAAAAATATATCTACGCTTTTTCTTAATTATCTGATCTAAATTTGTATTAAATTGAAAATGTTACCAAAGTCGTAGCAACACATAAGTGGGTACAAAATATTTGTAAATAACTACAATATATCAGAAAATTCTGTTGACGGCAGAGTTATTTTTATAATTAATTATTGAATCATTCCTGGATGGTTTCCCTCTGGCAACACGGCATTATTGCTGCGTAACAATAAAATTTTAACGAGCCCTCACGGGGTAGTTACTTCAAATAAGTTTCCTCGTCGATCAGTGTTTAAAGTAAATAAAAACTCCTTTGCATAACTGAAGTTTAGTAGGGTCGACACGAGTTCGAATGACTTAAACTAACAAAAACGAAACTTCACAAACGCAATTTGTTACTGGAGTATGGCAAGAGTTACTGCTTGTTTTGCTGATGTCAATAAAAAATTCCTAAAAGCACTTCGTTTACTAAAATTATTAATTTATTTACTAAAAGTCATAATTTATTCATCAATTTCATCAGTTGCTGCAAAATATACTATATATTTATGCCACTTTAAAGTCGACAACTGTACAAAATGATCTATTTTCTTTGAAGTTAACTGCTAAAAAATCCCGGATAAAAATATTTATGTAACTTGTTCAAAAAGATGTTTTTCGTACTTTACGGGTTGTCACGTCAATTTCAGGTTGTGTACTTCACTTACTTGTTGCACTAGTTACATAAATAACTAGTTGAAATATGTTGGATAATAATAAAGTGTCAATTTCAGAAGTTTCGCAAAGATATTCTTCAGCGATTTTACTTTTTTAATTTAAATCGATACACTGTAAAAAATCGGTGTAAGTGAAAGCAATAAAGGTTCAGAGTGAATCCACTGCTACATTTTCACTCAGTAAGGCATTTTGATCATTTTACTCATTTGTGATTATATTTAAACTAAAACTGAGTACTTTCACTCAAATATAGGTACTAATAAATTCTTCACGCAAACTCGTATTTGGTGCACTTGTACCTAAATAAGAGTAAATGTCTTCACTACTAAGTAAGTTTAAATGTATATTAATTTCGAGTAATTTGAATAGTGCCGTGAAGATGGCACCACTTACATATTGCTTCTGTAATCTCGACCACTGTGGATAGGGGTCCGTTAGATACTCCAGAAAAGCGTGATCGCCAGGAGAACAGGCTTTAGCCGGCGGCGGCGGGTCTCAGCCAGGACAGGAGGAGGCCCCGCGAAGTGAATTAATCTCACTGTATATCCTAATTAATCATTTATGAGTGATTTATTTTTGCACTCAATATTTAGTTAATTAAAATCCAAGTCTGAGTAAAAAATGACTCAAAAGTAGTTAAATTTAAATCATATTAGGGAAAAAGTCAACTCTTTTATATACTCAGAATACAGTTAAAAGCCG